CCATGCCCGGCCCGGCCGCGGGCAGCAGGGCCCGGGTCTACGCCGAGGTGAACAGCCTGAGGAGCCGCGAGTACTGGGACTACGAGTCTCACGTCCCAAGCTGGGGGTAAAGCCGCCGCCGCCCCCCGCCGGGCCCGCTAACCCCTCCCCGTCCGGCCGCCCCCCGCAAACCGCACTCGACCCCCAGTGGTGTCTCCCTGGCGGCCCCTAGGCTGGGCCGGCGCTTCCTCCGGTCTGCGGTGGGAGGCAAAGGCCCCCTCGCACATGTCCTTGTCTTCCTCTTCCTCCCGCTCCCCGTTTCGTCCCGTTCTCCCCACTTTGCGCACCCCTTTCACCCAAGGAATGCTTTCTTACTGGAGGGAGAAGTGTAGGGTCCAGGTATCAGCCTGGTGGAAGTGAGGATGCAGCCCTTCCTTGCCACACTTTTGGGTTTCTATTCGGGTGGGAAGCCAACAGCTGTTCTTTTGAGCTATTAAAATTCTCTCCTTTTCGTTTTCTGAAGTGAGGTTTGGTGGGGGGAGATTTCTTCAATACGTCCAGATTCTCCAAACAGATACTGTCTATCTTAAGGGTGCGAAATAGGTGTTGTGGAGTTACGGGTAGAGGGGGCATCCTCTGGGTCGCCGGGATGGATGCTTCGTTTGCCCCCTAGATTGGCTTAGCGTTGCCTTCCTACCTTGTCTCCCCAAGTTAGGAGGGACCAATTAGGTTAGGAGCTCTGCAGAGTGAAAGGAGCCAAGTTTGCATTGTGGTTTTCATTTAGGGAATGAGTTGTGGCTTGATGTATAGACAGGTCCAAGTGTTTGATTAATAGAAGCGGCTGGGTGGAGTGTGTAGTGGCCATAGGCTTGGTAATCCCAAATCCTGGCATTTATGTGTGTCTCTTGCTTTTCACAGTAATCAAGATGATTACCAACTGGTTCGAAAACTTGGTCGCGGAAAATATAGTGAAGTATTTGAGGCCATTAACATCACCAACAATGAGAGAGTGGTTGTGAAAATTCTCAAGGTGAGTGTCCTATGAGTGGCGTATTACATTTTTTCCCCCATAGGTCACAAGGATATAAGCTACCTCAGCCACATTCTAAAAAGAGCAGTGCCAGCTTGAATTGTATGTATCTTTTGTCTGCTGTCCCTCCGTCGTAGTCTTCTTCCAACCCATTTTCCTGTGAACTTTCAAGAAAATATACAGGCTGGTCTCAAATCTAAGCCCGACTCTCTGTTCAGGAATATCCTTGTTGTATAATGTAAATTATGGGTGCTCCAAGCAAAAATGGCTCCATTTGTCAGAAAATAACAAAAGAAAGAAAAGCTTTTTCATGGAGATTCCACAAATTTAAAGGCTCCTTGGTTGGTGTGATGGCTTATGCTTATAATCCCAGTCCTTTGGGAGGCGAAGGTGGGATCGCTTGAACCCAGGGGTTCAAGATTAGCCTGGGCAACATAGTGGGACCTTGTCTCTGCAAAAAATTAGCCAGATGTGGTGACTTGCACCTGTGGTCCTAGCTACTTGGGAGGCTGAGGAGGGAGGATTGCTTGAGCCCAGGAGTTAAGGCTGCAGTGAGTCATAATCATGCCACTACCCCCCAGTCTAAGTGATAGAGTGAGATCCCGATTTAAAAAAAAAGGTCTCCTTGAGCACTGTGTTTGTTACTCTTCGTGCATACTCTGCGTTATTCCAGAAGGAATGTTTGAAAAAATTGGAGCAACTTCAGAGATGAGTTTAAAGCCCAGGAGGATAATCACTTGTTTCTTCTCTCTTGGCAAAAAAGTTTCAGGTGGGATGGATTTAGTGAGTCAGGAGTGCTGGGAATCCTTGTTGTGAAGCAGTGAGCCGTTGTTAGTTATCAGCTAGTGAAAGTGTAAAAGGGTAACTTACAATTACTAAAGTGATAATTGGAACAACTGTCTTAATATCTGGTTTAGTGCTCTCATTTTGATAATGATATGCCTTTTGTTATCTCTTGGATGAAGACATGATTTTAATGAGCATGAAGAGTTGACTACATTTTCCTTCAGGTAACTGATTAATTGTGCAGCTTTGATAATATTTTATAGGGTATACTAAGAAGCAATTATTAGAATCTGTGATGGGTCCTCATTATTGCCAGATCATTTAAGGTGTGTACATGTCATTTAGTGAAGGATTGAGAAGACCCAAGAGTAATACACATGATTTCCAGTGCGGCCATTTCGCAGAGGATCTGTGTACTAAGAATTTGGGATTGAGGCTGAGGGGATGGATCACCAGAGCCCAGCAGGGGACACTGGGATGGCCATGAGCGTGCTACTGCCCTCCCATCCAGGGTGACAGAGTGAGACTCCAACTCAAAAAAAAAAAAAAAAAAAAGAATGTGGGATTGAAAAGCTGTTTTTTTGTGTGTGTTAGGGCTGCTGTGGAGAAATCCTTCTTTAATTCAAGAGGTCAGACTTATATTTTTTATCACCTTTCTGAAAAATGATCAATTCTATCACTCGGTACATTCTAACCTACTGATGAAGGAGCAGAATTTTGGTAAAGAGAAACAGGCAAAGTTATTTGTGCTCTCAGAAACACTGAGGAAAAGTGAGGAATTGATGTTGAAGATGAATCTGATTCCTCTATTGCCTAAATATGAGTTGCACCTATAAAGTCACAAGGTTTTTCTTTTTTTTGAGTTGGAGTCTCACTCCATCGCCCAGGCTGGAATGCAGTTGGCATGCTCATGGCCACCCCAGCATCAACCTGTTGGGTTCCAGCGATCCTTCCGCCTCAGCTTTCCAAGTAGCCAGAACTACAGGCACATGATACCACGCCCGGCTAATTTTTTTTATTTATTGTAGAGATGAGGCCTTGCCAAGGTGCCCAGACTGGTCACAAACCCATGGGTTTAGGCAATCCACTCGCCTCGGCCTCCCAAAGTGCTGGGATTATAGGCTGAGCCACTGAGCCTGGCTGACTTTTTTTTTTTAATTGGAATCTCACGCTTGTCTTTTTTTAAAAACAAGCATAGGCCGGGCTCGGTGGCTCAGCCTGTAATGCCACGCTTTGGGAAGCCAAGGTGAGTGAATTGCCTGAGCCCGCGGGTTCGAAACCCGCCTGGGCAACTTGGCGAGACCTCATCTCTACAATAAAAATCAAAAAAGTTAACCAGGTGTGGTAGCACGCGCCTGTAGTTCCAGCTACTTAGAAGGCTGAGGCGGAGGGATCGCCTGAGCCCAGCAGGTCGAGGCTGCGGTGGCCGGGAGCGGCCACTGCACTCCAGTCTGGGTGACTGAGTGAGACTCCAACTCAAAAAAAAAAAAAACCATAAATATTTTTTAAAGTGTTGTTCCTGGCCAGGCACAGTGTCTCACTTCTGTAATCCCAGCACTGTGGGAGGCCAAGGTGAGAGGATTGCCTGAGCCTGGGAGTTTGAGACCAGTTTGGACAACTTGGTGAGACCTTGTCTGTACAGTAAATAAAAAAATTAGCCAGGCATGAATATGAGCTGCTTCAAATCTAAGACATGAACAAGGCATAAATTAAAATTAAGAATATCCATATTTCACTGCTGTATGTTTAGAAGAATGAATTGCTGACTCTAAAGCAACTCCAGAAAAATATCTAAACTTTTGTGCAATGGCAACATTTTTAGAAAAAGTGATTTCCTGTGGTGTCTTTTTTGAAAGGAACAGCATTCAGGTGTATGTATAAATACCAGTGTGTTCATTTAGGAATGTATCACATTGTTCTTTAGTTACTTTTATAAAGAACTTCATAGGGTCAGTTGCTGGGTGGTTTTTTTCTCTGCTTTAAAGAATCTCAAGATATGTTAGGGAACCCAACATGGCAGCTGCTGTAGGTTATTTTTACAAATGGGAGACCTAGGCACAAGAAACTTATCTAACATTGTTATAGGAAATCATTAGCCAGAACTCCTGTTTCCTATTTCTTTTTGTCTCTTACTGCTTGTTTTAGCATTAGATGGTAGAATTTTAATGTTGAGCACAGAAATAAGTTCTAGTGTTCTGGGAATAAGACTAGGAGACCCCTTTGATACTCTAGTTAATGGTTTTTTTGTTTATTTTCAGCGTGGTTTCTTTTCACAGTGCAGCCTAAACCACCATATTTGCACTGGTGAAAACTACACTTACTTTTTTATGTTTTTTAAAGCCCTGTGATATTTCTATCCAGATTTTGTTACTATCTGAAAGATGGGATAAGAAACCACTAATAGTGTTGTTGTGGTTTTGTTTTTAAAGTAGATTGAAAGTGTTTGTTTGTTTGTTTGTTTTTAAAAAGAACAGGGTCTTTGTCCAGTGTTGTCCTTCTTCAAATAATTTGAAGTTACAACTAATAATCTACTGTTGTGTTTGGTCATAGGAAGTTGGGTCCTTAACAGGGCACCAGCTGCTCATAATTTGGAGGAATCTAGAAAAAGATTCCTTGTCATATAAGTCTGCTATATTTCTGCTGCGGGATTGTAGTTGGATTAATATACATATGTGTGGTACCCATAGTGGCTGGCATAGAAGACAGACTGTCTTCCTTGTCGATAACATTTCATATCAGTTCTTTCTTTTTATTTTATTTTTTGATTTTTGATTGACTGTAGAGACAGGCCTCGCCAAGTTGCCCGGGCTGGTCTCGCAGTTCTTTCTAATATCTGAGAATGGTTGGATGATGAGTAATCACAGGGAAATTTTACATCATTTAATTTGAATCAGATTTCCAAGCATTTTATTGATTAAAATAAATTGGGTAATAGGTTTTAGGAATTTAGAAACTGGTGACCAAAGTTTTACAGTCTATCTCTAAGTGACATTCTGAGCCTAAAATCTTAAAACTTTCCAATCAATAGGGAGGTTATATCTTTTTTTGACAGAAATTACTTTGAGCAGAAAAGAGAAAAAGAAGGGAGTAAGTAAGGGTTTATATAGCAGGGCAGAAAGTTATATAAGTTTTATCTTTTGATTCTGAAAAATCAACTCTTCAATTCCTTTGTAGTATCTCTTAGAAAGGTATACACAGAAATAAAAGCATTTGGCCATTTTTGACAAAAATCTTTTAGCGTTTTGTTAATACTCCCTGTATGTGGATTTCAACATTTCTTGGAACCCTTGGGATTTTTCAAATTAAACTGCTATTTCCTAAATAGAAGTTAAGAGCAATACTGTTTTTTAAAAACAAATGTACAGCATTTTGAACCAGCACTACAATGACTTGGAAATCCCCATATAAGGCCTTCTGCTAGTAGTCTTATTTAATAAACCTCTTGGCTGTCCATTTTTTCCCTCTAGAAATTTATTCTTGAGCTTAAAGAATGGTAGTATTTGGTTTTATTTATAAGCATGGTTAGCTTATTTGTAGGTATTTTTTAAAATTTTGTGTAAGAAGTAGTGTTAAAAGAAGGATGACATTGATTACACATCTTTGTTAGTAACTTCATAGTGAGCTAGTGCTCGTTATGTCAAAATGATGCTTTCTCCTTTATTTCTCCCTTCTCCAGTAGTAGGTTTTTTTTATTCTCCATTTAGGTGTGTGTATGAAGATATCTTCAGGCAATCCACTAGTGGTATTTATCTAAATTTTTTGTGAATTCTAGCTTTCACTAATGTCCTGTGGCATAAAAGTAGTTAACACCATTATTAAAGTATTACTAACATTAAAAATAGGCCGGACTCAGTGGCTCAGCCTGTAATCCCAGCACTTTGGGAGGCCAAGGCGAGTGGCTTGCCTGAGCCCATGGGTTCAAGAGCAACCTGGGCAACTTGGCGAGACCTCGTCTCTACAATAAATCAAAAATTAGCTGGACGTAGTAGTGCACGCCTGTAGTTTAGTCTACTTGGAATGCTGAGACGGAAGGATCGCCAGAGCCCAGCAGGTCGACACTAGGGTGGCCGTGAGCATACCACTGCATTCCAGCCTGGGCGACAGAGTGAGACTCCAAGTCAAAAAATAATAATAATTAAAAATTATATGTGAACTAGGCTATTTCCAATATCTGTGGGGTCACAGATTGAGAGTATAGTTAACCTGTGTCAAAC